AGCTTTAGGACATGAGTGCTACAGCTGAAAGAAAGCTCTGGAGCCCACCTTCCCGTGACCCCATTCATCCCAAGACCACCAGCGGCTGTCACCTGTGAATGACACACCTGTTTGCCTAGAATGCCTAGAACATTGACATCTGTCTGAGGCAGCTGGCCGTCGTACGCCCATGCATCGTTCTTTGGAGGTGCACCTAGGCCTGGGCCAGGTCGTCGCACTATGCCCCGTACGCAGTGGCATCGCTTCGGACTCCTCCCTGCACATCAAAGTGCTGCTTCAAATTTCACATGACATGATCCCAACTGATGTTCCTGTTGCAGTTCACGTTGCTGTGGCTCTCTGAGGCTCAAGCTGCCTGCCTTGACCTGTTGCAATAGGGCTAGGCCGGCGCCAGCGTCAGGGCGCCCTATGCACAATGTGTCAATTTTCGGCCGTTTGGGCATCACTCAGGACAGTACTTGTTCGGCGTATGGCAGTGCATGGTAGTGTCGCAATATGTCGCAATGAGTGGCTCGGTGAAGTAAGGGGAAAGTGGTTGATTTTGCAAGCTTTCTGTTTCCGTCACGTCACTCGGCTTCAAACTTTTGGCCAGTACCGGGCCTGACTCCACCTTGCGTGTGCCGCCGCCCTTTAACTGTTGCAAAAGGACTGCACCCGCTTGTTGCGGTGGGCGCTCCTGCAAAACGTTAGCAAAAGCTTTCACTGCACTGTGCCTGTGTCAATGAGACACGTAGTGAGCGCTGGATTGGCTTTGGACAATACATACGCACACACACACACATATATATATATATACAGCACCTACAAGCCAAGTTAATTCAAAACAACACGTGCTGGTGTGTCAGTTTGGAGATTTCTAGTCCTCCTTGTTGTTGACCAGATTAAGCAGGATTTTTCCTGCTTTTGCGCCAGCATCATTCGTGCCTGTGCTTGTGGGCACTGGAGCCTAGCGGGAAAGCATGTCTCGACGGCGTGATCAAATAGCAAGGGGTGCACAAATCGGAACGTCTGCTTCTGGTCTTTCCGATGCTTCCCGATGCAAAGCAAGAACATTGGCCTTCGGTGTTGGTTTGTCTCCTCGGTGATTCAAGGACTAGTGACCTGCCTTTTTCGTACTTGATCCAACCAACGAGCGTTCAGCTGCATTCACATTCTCTCAGCTTGCTGCCAGGCACGGCAACACTGCTTCCAGCCTGGTCAATCTATCTCCCTCTCTCTCTATATATATGAGGTCATGAAGGTCATGGGTTCACAAAAAAATAACAGCAACAGCAACGTGACATTTCGATTGTCCCGTGTGCAATGTTTTCCGCGATCTATGGGAGCAAACACAAGACAGACCTAAACCAAGTGCCGAAGCCATGCAGGACTACAGTATCCACAAGCCACGGCTATGTATGAAATCTGCTAAAGCTATTCTCAATCGCAATGATCTTTAGACCTTCAGCTATATTAGGACCACTTTTCAAAAAAGAAAAGCATACACCGCCTTGATGGGCGTTGTGCTGGAGATTCCCGGGGGGTGCCATTGTTGAGAGACCTGGCGGCAACGGCTTGTCTCAGCCCATGTAATCTATCACATGCAATCCACCTACTAAGAACTACGATCGTGCTGTTCATTGGCTGCAGAAACTATCAACCTATCTGCTACCTGTATGGGGCCTGACACAAGCATTTGGACGCTCTACATCGCTCCACAAGAACCGGCACCATTGTGCATGGTGACCGCGCTACCTTCTTCATCCTTCTGCTAATGTTTCAAGAAAGGCTAAACCAGCAGCGGCCTGCAGGAGGCTTGGTCTGTGCCTGTGCGGCTTCAGCAAGGGTGCTTTGGCGGGGGAGATGCCACACACAACTCTCGAAAGCAACTTAATGCAGTGCCTCTCTAGAACTTATAGCATCCTCGGAACATATTTACGCAATATTATACTATATTATATTATATACTAATATATATATAATATATATACACACATGTCGGGCTTAGTGCATCCAAGCTGGACTGTGGACAACTTCAGCCAGCTCCTGACCTGCGATCCCCTTGCAGATTCCAGCCTCAAACGGAGAGGCTTGGAGATGTTGAAGGTGCACAAAACAAGCGGCGTCTGAGGTGGAGATTTATATACATTCTAGATCATTATGGTACATCAACAACACCTTTCGAGATACTTGGAGCCAGCAGTGATTGGTGACACCCCCTGTGGAAACATGTCCACCAGGTTGAAGAACAGGTTTGGCCCGGAACAGGAGGTCACCAGGTGGTCTTCATTGCTTTGTGTTGCAAGACCAGCTGCTGGTTGAAACTTGATCTCAGCGGCTCTTTCGTCACGCGTTCCTCGAGCTCTCAGATTGGCTCCATCTGTGCGGAGCCCGCAAGTCTCCCGATGAAACCCTCAGCAAAATTAGGAAAGACTCAATCTCATCTCCTGAACAAATGGACCACATCAACATCTGAAATCATTGCTTTATGGAAGGACCTTCAATCGGGAAGCGAGATAACTCCTGAGGCTGATCCGGTTCAACGAGGACTCATGGAATCTCAGCATTAATGAACGTCACAACAGAATAAATGCCTGGTGGAACATGCCCACACGGTTGCCATGAGCATGCCATGAGTCACACTGCTATGACCAAGCAGATTGGCCTAGCAAATAGCCATATCAGGACAAAATTGCCGATTTCTCTGATCCGCAACCAGTTCTCAAGGGTATTCGGCCATGCTGCATTGGCAGCTGCCGATGGAGAGCGAATTTAAAAGTGTCAATGTGGGGAGCATTTGAGAAGTGTTCAACAAATCGATGTTCAAGTTGGAAGCCAAAACCTGTTACAGCCCGAACGCAAAATATCTTTACAGTTGTGTACAGTTTTACAGTCAGGTCAAGAAAGTCACAGCGAGCTCTTCTAAGGGACGCATGGTCACGCACCCCACCCGTTTTGTCTAGCCACTTGCTGTGCCAGAGAGGTGGATATGCTCACACACCCTTTGAAGATCAGGAACGGAAAAGTAAGGAACTTCAAATGTTGAAGGAGCAAAAACTCCAGCTGTATTGAGGTCCTGTACCGACCTAGGGAGAGAACATCAAATGCAGAACATTTGAGCTGGCCTGCACAACACAAACTGGCTGAGTTTGGGACGTAGGGTCATGATCTGCAAGCTTCTCAAGTTTCAGTGACCACTTCCTGAGCCATGCTTGTTTTGAAGTACAAGTGGCACCAACATCGTCAAACATGCATGGCTTGGGCAGCATGCACATTCACAACACATATTTGTCTTTTAGACCTGCGACATGGCAAACATTTAACACAAATTAAATGCAATGCCAAGACTCAGTGCGCTGGCGCTTAGCCCTCTGTAGAAAGGGAGGATTCAGCCGCACCCGTACCACAGGTCCTTCGGGAACCCGCTCCTGGATACATGGCAATCTGGGATACGGGGTTGTACCTTCAAGATCGTCTCAACAATGGTTGAATTGTAAGCGGCAAACACTAAGAAATATTCCATCGACCCTTGTAGACTCCTCTATGACAGCAGTAGGATCTATATCAGGAATTGTGGAGCAGTGAGGCATTGCGGTGCGCCGCAGCAGGAACTGACATGAACCCTCCAATAGCCCAGTGGATCTGCGGCAAAAAAAAAATTGCAGTGGCCGGTTTGGACCCTACTAGTATAACATGTCATAGATCTCTGCAACTCCTCGTTTCAGCCTCTCCTGGTAGGCTTGCTTCTGACGCTCCGTGAAAGCATCCCACTTGGCTCTCAACCTCAAGGCACAGGAGCTCGATGGCTTGCCGAAGTTACTGGTGTCAGCCTGATCATCCTCTTTCATCTCTCAAAGGAATGTCAAAAAACAAAGCTGCTGTGGTGGGCTTTGATGCTCAAACTGAAAAGTTCTTCAGCTCGCCCATCCTATGTCAAGCACGGTCCAACCCAGCCAAAACACCTCGAAGCCAGGCAATCCTCATCCATGCTTCCCTCCAGCTGCTCATTCATGAAGACCGCGTAGCCGTTGAACTCTGGGAACTTCTTGGACGGATTCAGGCCCCGGATAGTGCCAGTCATTGGGATGGGGGGATATGTACAATGGCAATGCCTTGAGCCGAGTTCGCTCAGCTGCAAACAGGCTGTCAAAATCTGTGAAACATGCAAGGTCGAGGCTCAATAAGTTAGGCTTAATATCTGGCCAAACCAAGCTTCCTTTACATCTTCTTTGTCATCAGCGGCGTTCTTGGAAGTCTTTGCCATCCACATTCAATTCGTTGGGAACTGCTCCTACTATTGAATGATTGGCCAGTAGCAGGGATGCAGTTTTGAAAGACTTCTGGGACACAGAATTGCACATGGCCACAAGCCAATTTGTAGTCATGTTTCAATCCGTGCTCCACTCTCTTGATTTCCAGCATGTTCCATTCCTGGGGCTTCGTACTGAGATGTCCCCTGCGACCTTGCGTCGTGTAAGGACAACGACCAGCAGTTATGTGTGACGCGTCATTCTCACCGCGTTTTTTTTTTTTTTTTTTTGGGGGGGGGGTGTTACAGTGTATATATATATATATACACACATACTTATAATCAGATTTAATCAGTTAATCATGACATGACTTCAAGGCGCTCTAACGTCTCGACTCTATATAGTCAGAAGTTATCTGGGAAACTACCCAACAACCTTTAGAGATCCATAGAGCCACTCAAAAAGCATCAGCAATATGACAAGTGTGGGAAATCAATAGTGCCAAGGACGGCTTGGTGACCAATCAGTTCTTTCCTCACACGTCCGACCGAGGTTTGGATTCCATACTGCGCCAGCTGCCGCTGCAAGATTTGCTGCTGGAGCATCTGCCTGAGCAAACACCACTTTACAGTCCCAGTCCTGGTTCCGCACTCAACTGTGGTCCCTCTGCTCGGGCCCAACCATGGGGTGTCAATCCTGAAGATGGTGGCCCCCCCGTCAGAAGGAGCGCTTGAGTTTGCTGACACCTAAGCAGGTGAACCTTCTTTTGTTTCCTGGTGACTTTGCAAGCTCAATTAAGCTTGATCACAGTGAAACAGTTGAGCAAGCAGGCCGAATTCAGCGATGGCCCAAGCTTGACCAACCTCAAGCTACATTTGGTGTCAATTTTAGCACCCAACCCATCGGTTGATTTGGGCAACAATAGGATCACTTTGTTGGGACACACCCAGCCCAGTGAGCAATGAAAACCTATGCAGCAGCACTGGCTCGTGTAGGTGCCGCTTCCTGAACCACGGCTCGGCTGCATGTGACGTCGATGCTCCGACCCACCAAGGTTCTCACATTGGGCTCTTCCCGACCCACAAGCTCTGCAAGCTCTGGTCTTAGTTTTTGAAGGAGCCCGTTGAAGTCCGGGTTGTCTGCGATGCCTAGCAAAGCCGCAAAGTCCAGGGCTGTTCAAAGTTCTTATTCTCTGGTGCACCTTCCCATCAAAATCAGGTCTCGACTCAACTTTTCATTTCTTTACTATTTACTGTAGGAACGAGCAATGACAGTATCACCTTCTTTGACGCAAAGTTCATCCTGTCTATTGCAGCCACAGGACTGTAGGAGTACAAGATGTGCTGGTGTCTCATGATGAGCCAGGCTTCGTGGAAGCTCATACGGTTTGGTGGAGCCTGAGAGATCGAACATCTTATAATGTCTTAATTAAGGTTCTCCACTCAGGAGCCAAGTGAATAAAAAATCAAATATCAATCAACACGCTGCAGGAGTGCAAAGCTACAACAAACAAATTGACATTTGATCACACAGTTCTTTGCACCTCCAGTTTGACCAAACCCAAGTTGCCTTCCTCTGCTTCGTGTATACCAAAGGTCTTGAGGTCCCTGGCGGGTCTCCGAAGCCAAAGGCCATCCAAAGAACTCCTCGTATTGTCCAAAGGAGCAGGGGAGCACCAACCAGAAAGGCCACGAAAAGTAATGAGGCCACAGCAGGCTCGGATGACAAAGAGTGCCCTGGACCTGTGTGGCCAAGGCTGGGAGGGGGGGGGATCACCATGAGAGGACATCATTGCCCCTACCGACGATACACTTGGGACATCTCAAAAGCCGACGTCGAAACCTGATGACATGTTTTGACTGTCTTTTACAGCAGTGGCTGCCTTGCCACAGAACTGCCAAGAAAAGGCCGCAGGCGAAGATCGTCGCAATCCAAAGGCACCCGGCAGCAGTTGTGGCACTATACAAGGCGAGCCTTACTGGTGTTCCGCATCTGACCTTATGCAGCATTGGTCACACTATTCTACAGCTCCATTGGTTGCAGCAATTTGCACTTTCTCGAAACAACATGAAACAACTTGACTCAGCATAGATATAGTACCTCATGGAGCTTCATCTTTGAAAGTGGTCAGTTTTGGTGGGTGAGGGCAATGTGCAAATGACAGAGTACTTGAAATGTAAAGGCCACACAACTTGTTTGCGGCAAGCTGTGCACTTTTGACCAATTGTGCTGTGAATAGCAACTGCTCTATAGCAAAACAAACGCCGTGGCGTGTGGTTTCCCACTCTCACACCTTATCACACCTTATGTTGGAGGCCATCGCCATCAGGTTGGAGGCCATCGCTATTTTATTGGGTTACCTTGTCATACCTTATCGCCTTGGTCTTACCTTTCTGCAGCCCTGGAGCGGAGGCTCCACGGAGCATGGACGACTTCTCACACCAATAGCGTGCCAGGAGGCCCAAGGTCGCCAGTGGCGTCAGAATGGGTGCCGCAGGCTGAAAAATGATAGTCACCGCGAGGGTTGAGACCTGCATCTCCCAACTTCTATGCGAGATCGAGCACGTAATAGCATATATATATATATCGTATACACACATATATATATATCTCTACAATATATAGGCACAACAAATTATACATACATTGGTTAAATCAGCTTGGAGGTTAGCATGAGTTGTGGCTATATATATATATATATATATAGAATTATATAGAATTATATAGCCATCGAACTTGACAGCCAAGCTGCCAGAGATGCATACTGCCTCCACAGGATAAAGCGCTGACCTGTCCAGCGCATGGCACGCAAGCGCAACGCATCGATAATCACCGCGAGCCAGCGGCAAATACACCAAATTACAATCACAGGAAGGCCATAGAGGTAAAAACTCAAGTCCATCTGCCATTTTGGATCTGCAAATGTGCTAGGACTCTTCACCAGCTGGTATGCCCATAGAAGCTTGAGACCCCAAAGCCCAAGGACAGGAGACAGTGCGGCGCAGCTGTGTGCCAGTGCAGTTGTAATCATCCAAGCACCTTCCTGACGGGACCGGTAATTGCATCTCCACCACTTCATGGTCCATTGAATTACACGCGGGAACATCTGCTGGAAGATTTCTGCCAACAGCCCCTGAGCAAGAATGCCAACAGGAGGGCTCCATTCGTCACAGCTTGAAGACTCGCAAAAACAGAAGCAGTTGCACGAACCTGCCGTAGTTTCTGACCAATTGGTGCATTGCATCGACATGCTTCCTAGATGTCCAAGCAATGGCCACCAAAGCAACGCTGAAATGCAGGAGCCTGTGCTCAGGAGAAGCAGGAGCGTAGCAAAGGTACAGCAGCGGATCAGCGGCTGAAAGGTCAATGATGGACCACAATATCGTCCATCCAAATAGTGTGCCCATTGAAGATCACATGGTTCAGGGGCGGCTCGGAAATACAAAGGCCACTTTCTGCAAAAGCGCTTCGACCTCGGTTGGAAGCATCGTATCCATCGCTGCCAACGGAAACCGCGCATGAGCCAGTTGCGCTCTGCTTCGCTTCCGAGCACTATGAAGGTGCTGAAGACCTGTGGTGGATGTGCAAGCTGGTAACACACGACAGTGGCTAGCGGCTTTCACATCTTGACGCACAACTAACCGGCAACCATATTCGCGGTCACTACACACATCCGATCATGTTTGATTGCATTTGCAAACGCAAAGCCTAGCTGTGCCATACAAGTCTTTGCAGTTGATTCCGTTTCAGTGAGTATACCCCAAAAATACTCATGCATGATTTGAAACTCAAATCGCAGGACTGTTCTATGGGAAGATCCATGTGAAACCTGAGGCTTGGTAGGGGAAATCACGTTTCCCCTAACAAGCCTGATGATACTCACCAAAAGACCGTCCAAAGAACGACACAGCACTTGAAGCCATGGTGCTGGTCGTTGATGTTCTTGCGCCCGCTCGTGTTTTTGATGGGTGTTGAGACCGGCCTCACCAGGCAAAATGACATGGGCAGCAAGCCGGCTTCAATTCTAAACATCTTAAACATGAGACTCCTCTTTGTCTAAGATGATGCTGGCTTCGGAAAATGAATGTTGGTTGGATGGTGAAATCCTGTGACATCTCCGGCCTCCATCGCCTCGAGCAATGCACCCCGGAAGTCCCGAGCCACGGCCACGTCGCACACCAAGCCATCAAAGCTGCTCCCGCGCAACCTGAGCTTCCAAATTGCTGCGTGTAGCTAAAAAGCCACCGAACAGTCACTGAACAGTACTTGTCTTGGTGTTTGCTCCGGTTGGCCAATATACATTGATAAGTTGAAAAAGAGGTTCTGCACAGTGAAACACACATGTACAAGACATGTAAACATATTTATGTGTAAGAGAATGTCGAGCCCTCATGTGTTGTTTGGATTCCGTTATCCGATTGAATTTGTTTGATAGATTTTCCATCATCTGCCAAGGACTATGCCACTCCCACTTGTTGACAATGCAACCGTCGAGAGTCGAAAGGATGAATTTCCCAGAAAAGCCTAGTGATTCTTCACTGCTACTACTGTAGGTGTGCTAAGCTCTGCCAAGTGTCAGTTCTTCAAAGTGGCTCACAATTTCGGATTCCAACGCAGAATCAGGAATTCCAAAGACCTCCAGGGCATAGTCTGCAACTGATGGTTCCTCAGAATGAAAGAGAAAGTGCTCCGACAGGAAGATTTCCAATGGGTTCTGAGTGAAGGTACTCGTACTCTTTTGAAAGCCTCACTTTTCCATGCCACTTCATGCCCTGAGACCTGATGCTACAATGAGCTGCCGGGGGTTGCCAAACTCGATGCAGAAAGAAACCCTGAAAGTGTCCGAGTGATTCCGAGTGGCTGAGGTGAGATCAGGATGTCCAGCCAAGCGCGGCCATGCGAAACAACTGAGGAGGAGCAGTGCCAAGGCCGGGAAAACCAGCTGAACGCCAACTAAGACTGTGATTCCTTGCTGGAATGCAGCATGGCAATGCAGGCCGACAACTAAGCAGCATATTATTCAGAGTATGCTTTATCGATTTTTCGTGACTAAATCCTTCCCGCCCAACTGTGTCCAGCAAAACCCTTCTATTGAATCTATTGAATTTTATATTGCAAAGGTGGTAGCCCTGAGGTGACCTATATACTCGCGATGGATCTACCAAGTTGCAGGGAACATCACAAGGCAAAATGTATTGCAAACATGGCCAGGGTTCCCAACGCCCCAGAAGTCGAATCCAAACGAACATCAAGTGTTCCAACTGCAAGGGCAGTATCTACTCCAACGTTGCCCATCGTAGTACGTGCAAATCTTGAGCAAAGGTCATTGTTTGAAAATTGAGATCCCTCAAGTGCAAAAATAATCAAGAAAATTGCAGCGATAGACATGAAGAATAAGAAACGGCACACATATCGGAGAGTTTGGAAATAAAGGCAGTACTCCAAGCCATACTTCTCCACATCATCAAGGCGAACCCACAGAATGAATCTGTAGTCTTCTACCACCTTTTCTCTTCCCGAATCGGGCCACTGAAATTCCACATCTGCTTCCATTCTTGTGGCGCATCAAAATAATGAAGCCAATGCCACTCTCTCAACGGACCATGAACCAGCACGCTTGTCTGTAGTAGACTCTCTTAGGAGGGGTGTTCTGGCTGCAAGTGGAGGTGCGGTGTTCGGCAAGCAGCTATTGAGGGTTGGACCATTCCAAGGAAACCGGAAGTTGACGGCACATTCAACAAATTGCAGTAACATGACTCATGACAACCTGCCAGTCATGAATGCCGCTAGTGCACTCAAGTAAGATGGATCATGGATCATGATTCATGATATTACAAAGACAAAGTCTCTTTGCGTGCATCCTGCAGCCATAAGCTATGCAGAACATGAACAAAACCTCGCAGCCGCCACCAAGATATCCACATCTGGTTTTCTCAAACACAAGCCAGTTACCAGTACATCTGGAGGGCCCGCAGTTGCCAGTACATGGCTGCACTTACCATGGAACGACTGCGAAAGTGCGAGAGTTGGCCAAACCCACACCACCAAGGATCGGACGACTGGGACGCGCCTGCCTGAGTTGTTTGTCCATTACCATCCGATCATGACCATCCATGATCGTCCGTAATCCATCTAATTAATGGCTTGGAGGCCATCACTAGTAGGTTGGAGGCCATGGCTTAAAAGGAGCGACACCTTCTGGTTGGTACTGCTATAACATTTGAGAAAAAGTGCCTTCCAGTATGCCAGGTAGTCATAGCCTATGCCTAGGCTGATTCAATCTTGTAAAATGGGAGCTGATTTTTGATGGAATATAACATTTCATCCGAAGCCACGGTGTCACCCGGCATCTTGCTCCCAAACAAAGCTCTGAACAAATTGTCTCAACAACAAGTATTATTTCCTGTATTTGATGTGCAATCCGCGCATGTCCACTGCAAGCTGGCGTCAATCCTTTTCCGAACGCGCACACACAATATGCTAGCTGCTATGTGTTCCAAGGGTTGTGCACTTTCGTATGCCTACATGAAGGGCCTGCATCAGCTGCTGCATCCAAAGCTCTGGTGACCTGAGCCCATGCTGAAGCACCCCAGCTGAAGAAAGACCAGCTTGGCTTGGGAATTCCATTTCTCATAGTTCTCCCAATATGATGGATCTTGGACTGCTCAAGGCCATCACTTGAAAAGGTCCAACAACAACAAGGGATTCTCATCTCTGGCATCCCTGCGATTGGAGCTTTGCATTCAGCGCGGCAAGCCTCGAGTCAACATACCAGGACCAGCATGTTGTTTTGCTGACACTACCATCATATCCTACTTGTCTGTGGAATCCACATGCTCTTGCAAGGGACGGTTGCGTGTCTAAGTTTAAACCCAAAAGATTGCCTTTGACACGCAAGGGTCAATCAGGCTCAGCCAAGCAACATGCTTGCATCTGCATAGCCTTGAGATGGATACCACCTTAAAATCACGAGTTGCGCAAGCCCAGAATTTCCACACCTAAAGAGCTACCTGCTTTCAATGCACATGCAGCAAGCCAGGAAACACATCGGAAAAGGCTCCCGGGTTCTGGAACCACCTGGGCTGTCTCTGACCGCTTTTCAGAAGTTGGTGATCCCTCCATTGAGTGCCAGGTCAACTGAGTTCCGAGCCCAGATTGTTGCGGGAGCCTTCCAATGGCAGGCTTTCACCATGTACTCATTAATTTAATCTTCCCATCGTCTCTCTTTTCTATATATTCTTTTCATTTCTTTTCTGACTGGTTGACGGCCAACCCTCAGCCGCTGGCATCTGAGCGAATTGAAGTTGAGAGGCAGCACCTGACAAGCACTCAGCCACTGAGACATAATGGATGACAAAACGACTCAGCAATTCATCAAGAAACCAATGAACCACCTGGTTCTGTTAACACCTCACCGCAGCCCCACCTGCGTAATCTGGCCTTGGTGATCATTAACAGAAACTTGACAAATCTGCGCAGGATGCTTAAGTGCCTGCTCTGCAAGTGCTCAAACTTCCGATGCTGACAGGAAAGCAGGATGTTTAAACAAGGTCCTTAGGCCTTAGACCCACCTATACTCAATAGTCACAACAAACGTCTGCTGCCAAGCTTCCAAGTGGTCGCTGCCATGTTGTTCAAATAGCCTGTCCAAACACTATGTATGACAAGATCAAGAAGCTACTAGGGGCTCCTGGCATCGCTACTAGGAGTAAGGACGCTACTAGGGAGACGACTGAGGCGGCAACCTTGAGATTCACTACCCTGTGCTGTGGCCTCAGCCCATATGATACACTGGCCAAGCAGGGCTGAACCACGGCGCCCTCCGGCCGAGATTTGGACAAATGGGCTCTCGAAATTTGCCATAAGAAGCGTCCTCCACACCTGAGGCTTAGCATGGCTCAACGAAAAAGACTATAAGGATCTATAAGGCAAACCTCTATGTACAGGTGGTACAAGCACCAACTCCAATCAACAGCCGGGCTGGACTCGAAAATTGCTGGATGGATCCAGATAGATTTCTTAACCCCAAAGTGATGATCCTTTCTTTGGAGCACTTGAGTCTTGGACACAGCAACCTCATGTTCTAAAGGATGCTGGTGAAACGCTGGAGCTCCAGTAGTTGGGCTCTTGAAGCTAAAGCACTTGTCTCGTGTGGCCTTCTGCAATGCCCACTGTACACAGCACAAGAGTTGTCCACTCTGACCACAAAGTACTACACAGCTGTTGTAACTAAAGGCCATTTCTGTAGAATGGCTTGCACAGGGATCGTGTCCAACCCTTGGCCCTCCGGAGCTTCAGGATGGCCTCAGGAAAGCCTTGGCGAGGACTGGTGAGAACGGGTGTTTTCCTTGCCTGGTTGACTGTGGACATTTGCAGACTGTTGTGTATAGCAATTCCCAGTGCAAAGGATTCCATCAAAACACGACAGATTGCACACAACCACAAATAACAGCAAAACATCCAGAAGTGACCTTCCAGATCACTCCTCATCGCGGGCTGATATGGTTTCTTGGTAACGCGTCTCTGATGCCCAGTGGCAGAGCTCGTTGAAGCACGGGGCCTCAGGATCGAGAATATAGGTGGCCAAGTAGTCCGGAGAGATGTTTCATGGTGAGTTTCGGCGCATTGCCCAGTTGGGTGACGACATAGTTTTCAAGACATATTACACACACATATATACATATATATATATATATATACGCTCCCACTTCCAGTCTGGAGCAACCTGATTGATGTTTTGGCCGAAGGTCACCCCACTGAACTTCCATGGTCTCACGAAAAGGACCAACCATATAGACATATAGATCATATATATAATCAATAGTCTCTTCCTGTGCCCCACTGTCCCCTGCACTGAATGCAAAGCCGCTCGCCAGATAGAACCTGGTAGTTCATCTCAGGCGGCCTCACTGGACCTGAAGGGAACTTCCCAACCGCCGGCCGGAAGTTTCCATCAAACCTGCCTGTGTCCCGGCTGCTGGAGGACGGTACATTACCTTAGCGAGTGCCATCCCTAGGGAACACGGATTGCTAAGAATGTCCAACTGCTAGACCCAACAGTGAAGTGTTTAATCCTTACAGTCCACCCAATCTAGGCATCTAGGTGGACATGTGCAAACATCTTCATGTCTGCACAAACAGGTGGAAACAATGATTCAAACTCATTCAACATGTTCTTGCAAGGTGCCACTCCGCTGACGGGACACCGTTCCAGTCTCCACCTCTTCCTGATGCGATGGCTCCCGACCCATGACTGCCCCGCAGTGGGGCAATTGATTTTTTTCACACAACAAAGCCATTCTGACATGCACATTCCATGGACTACTTGAGTGACAAAAGTCAGTTGTTAAATGTTAAGTCTGTTAAGTGAAGAGTCCCTAGTGATATATGCACCTCGTACAACAATCCAAGTCCCTTCAATTATATAGATCCGTTTCACTGCCATAAGGTTGCCCTGTCCAAACAACCAAGGTCATGCACGCCTCCCCAGTAGCAAGCTCACGCTCCAGCTGCTCGCGCCTGAATTTGCAGTGCAGTCTTTGATGCCATGGACACGTCATGAACCACCCTACACGGAGATTAACACAACAAATTGTTTTGTCAGAGGCATAGAACATCCTTTCAACCAATGTGCTCAAGGGCATGGATCAACGTCTTGAATCTGAGAATATCTGAGAATGGTTCAGAATTTAATTTTGAAGATTTCTATATTATAGTTTGCTATTAGGGTTTCTAGGTTGTATTGGAGGCCATGGCTATTAGGTTGGAGGCCATTGCAATTAGGTTGGAGGCCGTTGTTATCAGAAATAACATGACATAAACAAAGGAAAACACATTAGTAACACCAGTCTTCGACTCGATCAGCTAGCTGCATCTACGACGGTTCATGCAATGTTCGCTCCATTGAGGCCGAGATCTCTCCCAAACACTTTGCACCAAGGCTCTGGTACTCCAAGCGTAGCTGTCGCACGTGATGTTTGCACCTTCAAAGGAAAACAGCTTTGTTTTTTCAGAAACTGTCACGTATCCAAAAGATCTGCCCATAACCCTCTGAAAGTGCCTCCCCCAAACACGCGCAGCCCCCTCGTAGGCAAGTAGCCAATTGCATTGTCAATTTCCCGTATGCATCGTCAAGCAGCAACAAAAAAGGGGCCACAAAGGTAGGTGTGTGAACATCCAGGTGCTGGTGAAGTTTGCCTGCTTTGAAAGAACCACATGAAACGATAAATTCCCCCGAGTTTCCCCCTCCTTGCCTCTCGTACTTGTTGTAGTGCCTCAGCCAAAACTAGGTGTTTAGACTGGCTAGAGCCAAGGCCCATCCATCATTATCTGCCAAAGGGTAGTTGCACGAACGGCCTATTGGCCCAATACCGTGGCCCTTTTTCTTTCTCGGGCCTATATGAGCTATTTGGGAAACATATTCCCCACAACCCACGACTGCGAAAGCTGGATCGGATGAGGAACCTGAAGCGGAGCCTGGCCAAGGACTTTTCTCAACCTGTCGCCAGCAGCCCTTTGTGCTTCACAGTGCGCATAATTCAATCTCTTCAAATGTTTCTCGGTCATCTGCTTTCGGAAAACTTCTCGTCATCAAATCAGCAGTGCTCTTTGCTCCATCAACTTTCTCAATCGTCAGCACACCATTTCTATAGTATTTTGTTGCAACCACAAAAACCTGGTTGCACGTGTTCTGTCTTGCCAACACCAACGCGACACGCTATTGCTCTAGCTGCCGTAGATCCGC